AGGTTTTTCATGCTATAAATGCTCAGCCTCAGGCGCGCCCTGGTGAATGACATTGTTTACATAGGCTAAACTGTGAAAGAGTTCCGCTCGAAAACCACTTATTTGAAACAGCAGACTAAAGGCTCCTGAACTCATTCATACCAGAGGGCTTAGAGACAGCCATCTTTGCTTCAGGGTGAAAAGGAAGACACTGCTGGAATGGGAATATATTTCTTCTGGAACTCGATACTTGAACAAATAACTAATCCAGCAAACTGTGAAGAGGGAATCTTAGGGGTCAGATAATCCGACAGGTTTGGAACAAGTCAACAGTTTATTTAGGCTACATGATTTAAATCACTATTGGGAGGTAAAACCAAAAGTGAGCAAAACTGAAAAGTCAACGCACAGGAAAGGTTGATATGATGGCAGACTTTCTTATTTATAACAACTATAATGCAGTGCTCATACGTAATAATTAATACTGAATATTTTGCATGTCCAAATCCCACCAAATTTGACTCAGCACTTCCTCAGACCCTTTAAAAACTACTTCTGTTCTTTGACCCCTCTGACTTCTTTTTTAGCACAGAATTACATCGGAAAGTACAGAATCAAGGCCTCAGCTGTTTAAAACTTGGATTTCTCTTCAAAGTTGTCAACATTCACTTCCAGCTCTTGGTGGTAAAGGTCCAAAGGACAAAGATTAGAGGATGTTCTTGGCAGAATCCCTTAAATAGGCCTTTGGTGACGTCAGAGGAATGTCACCTTCTGAGTGTTTTCAGGAGGCTATTTGAGATTCCAACAAGAGTCACGCTGCACTGCAAAATGTCGGCCCCCACCCCCTCTGAAGATGGGCCATTTATGAGTTGTGTACGTGTGTTTGCTCACATCTCTAAGTGCTTAAACATGAGTCTCCTCTTAAAACATTGGACTGTTCGACTATCCTCGTGTCACACCAGCAGAGGGGAACAAGACGGAAAAGTGAGGGGAGAGAGAGAGAGAGAGAGAGAGAGAGAGAGAGAGAGAGAGAGAGAGAGAGAGAGAGAGAGAGAGAGAGAGAGAGAGAGAGNAGAGAGAGAGAGAGAGAGAGAGAGAGAGAGAGAGAGGGAGAGAGGTAGAGAGAGAGTGGGTTCTCGAGGGAGGCCCCTTCATTTTCTGGATGCGAGAAGCAGACATTAAGCTGCAGTGACTAGCACCGCTGGCCTCTGTCTGACCCTCTTCAACTTCCTCTCAGTCTGGTCTGAGGCTGACGAGTCATCATATCAGCGCCGTACGATGTGGCTACACTAGCGACGACACAACACTGACCCAACAATTTAACGACAGCCCGGGAACAATAAAGCACAACAGAACAAAACATACAATAACAGCACGAGCAGCAGCGCCTAAGGGGGGGGCGAGACATATCCAGGGTTTTGTGCAGACGCATCAGGTCCGGCGTAGCTGCCTCAGTCCTCTGCCCAGTGGCAGCCCACCAGCTAATTGCAATCTCTTTGCCCCAGAGGCTGCAGGGAGCCTCTCTGACTTGAGAACAATGCAGCTGAAATGTCAATGAAAACAAGTCGGCTGCAAAGACTATATTTTTGTATCATAAATCCATAGCTGACTGTATACGACAGCTCAGAACAGAGCAGATGGATATCAGAGAAACAAAACATGGCATGAAGCAGCAAATCATGGTGCTTCTTTAGTGCTGAAAAGAGAAACGGTAAAAAAAACAAGATGATGTTGAGAACTGGTGACATTTAAGCATAATATTAATGTGAGATTTGAATAAAGGTAGCAAACTAGGTGAGGGGGATTATGGGAAAAAAGCCCTCTGGTAGTCCATCTGTCTGGGCATGTCTCAGTACCCTGGACACACAACGCTGCACCAGCACACATACGCATGCTGGTGTGCATGCAGCTGAAGCAACACACCCACACAGACAGTCCAATCTCCCAGGACAAAACACTAAACTCCACCTTCACCGTCCAATCCAAGAAAATAAAAGAAACACACACACACACACAAATCTGCAGATGGAGGAGAGCAAAAGAGGAGAGTTTAGCAAGTGAAGCTGGACAGAGACGAGAGGGGGGCGGAAATAAAATTAGCAGAACACGGGGAACATTGATCAAAACCAGAGATAAAAGAAGGAGATAAAATAAAATTGTAAGAGTGGAAGTGAAGACATGTTGAAGGATTGCGCTCTGTCCGCCATGCGAAAAATGAATGGAAATCCTTCGTTTTCCATCGCAGCAGCGATTAATTGACAAATGTGCCACATTAATAATAAAGCTTGCTCTCTCCACTTAGGACATTGATTCACACCTCCTCAGCTTACGGTGTAAGAAGCCGATCAATCTTGCTCTGTCTTCATCTCTCTTTCTCTCCTTCTTGAGCTCCTCTATTACCTTGCTAAATATAACTTCCTTCCCTGTGTCTTTAGCCAGGAAATGAGTCCAACATTCAATAACTGGCTGTGGATTGGGCATGCTTGTGCAAAGAAGATCTCCAGAAATGATTGATTGATTACTAATTAATTCACAACTCCCCTGATTGATCTACAGTTGGGGAGTGATTATCAGAGAAAAAGAATATAAGAGGAGCGGACAGAATATGATTTGATTTGATTCAAGTGGAGGATGGAGGGAGGAAAGAAGCTTCTGAAGAAGAAGCGGACGAGTGTAAAGGCAGGTGGATCATAATGTGCTTCCTGAGTGTCTGTGAGCTTGTAATATTACAGTGGTAATGATGTAACAACTCGAAGGTAAAACCGTATGTTTACATAACTTTGTGGTTGAGAATAACTGAGACGAAGGGACAAACGGAAAAAGAGAAAGAAAAAGAGAGATCCACATGAAATGCTGCAGGGAGCATGTCTGTCTGTCTGTCTGTCTGTCTGTCTGCCTGTGTAGCCTTGAAAATCCCAGCACTCAAATCCAGACAACCACAGAACTCATGCCCACGCCATACGCACAAACACATACAAACACTGTGGCCGCTCCTATCCTACGCTATTGATCTGCACCCCACTCTTCATTAGAAAGAAGGATTCAAAGGCAACAAGGAGCAGTGAGAGGTATTGTGTGTGTGCGTGTGTGTGTCTGCATGTCTGTGTGCATTCAGCATGGGTGTGTGTGTTCACAAGTGTAATGATCAAGGGAGTTGTGTAAGCTGAATGTGGTTACATCCTATACGTGTCTGAGTTTCCGTATAGTCTTCTTTTCCCAGGGTGAATGTTCATGCCTGTGTGTGTGCGTGTGTGTGTGTTTGAGTGTGGATGTGTGTGTGTGTTTGAGTGTGGATGTGTGTGTGTGTGTGTGTGTGTGTGTGTGTGTGTGTGTGTGTGTTTGTGTGTGTGTGGATGTACTGCCAGGTATCAGTAACAGTGGGAGCAGATCTGTGTTACTCTAATGCAGTCTGTCCTCACTGGGTGTTCCTATGGAAACTCTGTCTCTCTCTCTCTGTATATTATTAGACATTCTTAAATCAACTGCTCAGAATAGGAAGACACATCTCATCTATTGAAACACACTTGTTATGAAGCAGTCCACTTGCACCTGTAAAACACGGGAGACTCCATTCTTTGAGAATATTTTAACTGCAGGGATTAGTTTGAGATGCAGACTCTGGCCGGGGTCACAAGTGATTGACTCTTGGGCATTGGATCAGTCACAGCGATCGCTTCTACAGACACAAGCCTGAGGCATGCATTGCAGAAATATTTTTCCCAGCATGCCAAGTTCTTGACAATACAACTGAAAATACTGGAAATACCATTTCCCATGAATTTTGTCTTTTCTTATTTCTTAGCATGAAAGATCTGCTCCTCTGTCTCATAGGTTGTGGAGTGGATCGCATGTGTTTCAAAATGTGTTATAACACTGCTCCTCTACATCCTCTCTGTTCATGTACATTAAATGTTCCACTCGGGCTTTAGATTAATAAAAGATTGGAACATGTGTTCCTGTTCTTTTTCTTTTTTTTTATATGCATATGTTACTGTAGGGAGTTGCTGAAACAGAGTAAGTGCCTTTAAAGGGGGAGCATTTCTCTGTGAAATGTACGATTAAAAAGACTGTTTCTTTGCTTAGGATTGGCGGTTTGAGTTAAAAATCAATAATAAATACATGTAGATTGCAAACTTCAAGTTTGTGTTACTTCAGCTAAAAGAGAAAGTAAAACAAAATCATGAGAGATACATTTCTTTGATTAATTTGATTCAAGTGCAACCCCTCATCTCGTCCTCTGAGAAAATGTTTCATTATCAGCTTTATAACTATTCACAGTCAGAGTTTATTTTTCTAATTTCATTCTGAATAAACAAGTTTCGACTTTAATACAAATGAAAAGAGATGAAGAGATGAATTGTTGGGATGAAAATATAATTTTGCTTTTGTGATGACGTTCACATCTTGAGTATTAAAGCATTTTGAATACATATTTTTTCCTCTAATCCAAGCGGATAAAGGCTTCGTCAAACACTAAACATTGCGTCTTTTAGAATAATGTCCCCTCTTGTGGTTTGTTTGTTCATTTATTTCATGTGCGGAGTGAAAAATTGAGGCAGGCGCAATGAGAAACCACAGACTGATAGCTGTTAATTGTTAAAGCAGTGGATGAATCTATAAAAGGAGGGTGTCACCAATTCACACTAGAAAATTAGTGCAGTGACAGGAGGATGTGTTTGAGTGTGTGTGGGTGTAATCTTTTTGACAGCAGGGTACGCTCACACTGTGCCTCACTGTGTTTCCATACAATAGTTAGATATGATTATATAATCAGGTGTGCATGAGGGAACAATGCTTTAATACTTGTGTACGGTTTATTGGAGGAGGAGACCTGCACACAATTAAGAGGAGAAAAAAATTTATGCTGACAAAAACTCCAAATTTGCAAGACCAGAATTAAAATCTTTCATTTTTAAGTGGGTTTACCATGTGGGGGGTGAACCATCAGGAACTATAAGTTAAAATGGAGCTGAAGTGTGCCTGTGTAGCATCCTGTGAAGGGTGTGCGAATGCTGACTGACCTCTGGCATGGAAGTCTGCCGCCTCGCTGCCAATGGGTGCTTTCTTCAGAGCTGAGGAGCGATAGACGATGTGCGTCCTTCCTCCTCCTCCCTCTGCCTCCTCTTCTATGACTCCATCGCCGCTCTCCACCGGCTCGATAAAAAACTCCTCTTGCTCCGTCCTGATCATACCGGCCTGAAAGAGAGCGAAAATTAATTGGATGACACGACAAAGAGAGTAGATAACAACTGTTCTAGGTGCATGCTGGGAGAAAAATAAATTGAAGAGGAGGGCACAGCAGTGATCCCTCCTGGGGTCCTGAGGAAGGCCAGAGTGACACCTGACATCACAAATGGCCAACACATGAGCAGGAGATGAGACTGTCCCACTCCCATCCTGAACTAACACATTCTGTCAGGTAATTCCCCAAGTCCACCTTGCACGCACACACACACACGCACACAAACTCACTTACACACACAAACTCAGCCATGCACAAAAGCAAACTCACAGGAAGAGAAGAAGGAGAGAGGAGGAAGTCTGAAAGAGTTGGAGAGGAGTAAAGGTGCGTGCATACAGAACACACACACGCAAGAAAAGGGAGTTGCATGCACATACACAGGGGAAACAAGCTCTGGGAAAATTGCCCGTCACTCTCCCTTATTCTATCTGTCTGTTTAAGACAACTGGTAATTACCAAGGCAACACGCTGCTGTAGGGGGAAACCATGGGGGAGAACACACAGAGAGGCTTTGGAGAGGACGAGCGCAAAAGAAAGAGAGAGATAAATGAAGAAGAGAGAAAACACCGATATGATTAGTGACTCGTCTGGGTCTCCCTCTGCTCTGACAGGAGAAGGACGGGATGATGAGCAGGCTGAAGAGAGGAGAGTCAGCTGATGATACAAAAAGAAAAATACGGGCTACGTTACAAAAGAATGTGTGATGAAAAGCGCACTGCACAGGGAAGTCATCGTTTATTTCAGGGAGTCTGCAGGTTTCAACAAGTTATATGTAGGACTTCTGAAAACCATAATGAATGAAATTGAAGACCTACAACATTTTCCATAATTGAAGATAAGATGAAGTAGAATAACACTGGAAATGCAACATTATCTCACAAAGTACACGCTGAGACGGGAGGTATCCATTATAGTGTTAAATGAATGATAACATAACTAAGACCTACCTAATATCTTATTATATTTAAAACTTTTTAAGGCCTAAAATCCAGATTATTAAATGTAGGACTTTGTAATACCCTGCAGAAACCCTGCCAAAGTCAACATATTCATGTTTCAGTTTTTTTGTTTATATAGTTTTTTTTCATCCAAGCTGAGCAATTAAAATTGTAGCTTTTTATGTCTTATGAGTGTAAAACCCTCGAAGACAAACTTATGCAACATGTTAGACTTCATACTCAAACTCTAACAAACAAAATTAAGAAGTACAACAGATCCACCAAGTTGACAGCATGAAGATATGTGCAACAAAAAAAAGTATTGTAAACAATAAGGGATTCTGGGGTCTTTTTTCTCTTCCCAGTACTTATTCTGATACCTGGACTTTGTATATTGGCTGATATGAGTACTGATCCGATACCAGTGTATTTAAAAAAGATAACAACTTATATCACTTATTTTAACACTTTCATGAAAGTCATGTTTGCTATCATTGTTCTGTGGTCTCTGGTTAAACTCTTTGAAAAACAAACATATAAAGAGAATGAATCTACTTTGACTGTCATGACTGAAAAAGAACACAAATAAACCAATCTAGGAACACACAACATTTACTTGTGAAATATTGCCAAGTTGCTGACATTAGAGCAAACTCTGGCTATAGAGGAAAATAAAATACCAGTTTTATCTGGGTGAAACGTGTATACTTTAAAGACATTTGATATCAGATCAGCACATATCATAGATTTATATACTCGCTGATGTCTGACGCAGAATTTCAGATGCTGGTGTCTGCGTATCCTCTCTCCTGTAAACGATGTGCCAAGAGAGTTGGCGACTTGGTGGTGAATGTAGTGACACATTGAAATGCTTAAGAGCAGCTTAAGTACTTAAGTTGTTGTGTGGGCAGAACCACAACTCTAAATGAATGATGTTATTTGACACAACAGGTTTCTTTAAGGGCTGATGCTGGATGGATACAGACACATCACAAATAATGGAATTACACAATCACAATGATCAGGTTTAAAAAAGTAAGAGCTAGATTAATTATTCAATGCATTTTTGAGTGTTTTATCCAACTTGACAGCGCTTTTGTACTGGTATTCACCTTTTGAGGCATCTCTTTATGCATATGACTGATCAGGTGAATGTGTTTCTCATTTTGCCAGTGTTTTCCCTAACTGGTTCCTGTAGTGTCAAACTGTTTCATTTGCATGTTCCATCTGTTTTGCAGTGATTTCCGAGCTCTCTCAGCCACTGTGATATCAATGTGTGCAAATTTGGGCCAATTTAAATAAAATCTAATGGATTAAAATGTGGTTTCACAGGGTTTGCTGTCTGAGAAACATAATGTGGCTTTAGCTATAAGGCTTGTTTTAATTTAAGGGGATTGCTGAGTCTTGGTGGAGTAATGCTCCTCGCTGAGTGTCATATAGTTACATAATGAAAAGACACAGATATCCAGTATTGATATCAGTTATTAAATGTTTTGAGCTCTAAATAAAATTGACTTTCAGAGTGTGCATGCTCCTTGAATATCCCACTGAGGCTGATTTAAATGAAACTGCATATTAACGTAAGTGGCCACTGAAAAATAAAAAGCTCTTCTCTTCTCGTCTTTATTCTCGTCCTCTCTGATTCTCCTTTCTCACCCCCTCCTCCTCTCTCTCCCTCTGTCAGTCTGAGGCTTTGGTCCCAGAAGGATGTGGACAAGCCGCTGACCTGCCCTCTCTCTCTCTCTCTCTCTTTCTCTAACTCCACCTCTCCCTCTTCTCATCCCTCCATTTCCCGGAGCCGTGGTGCAGCATTCCGATCGCAGCTGATGGGTCTGAGATGGTGCATGCGTTCCCACCCCAGAATACCAAGCAGAGGAGAGAGGAGAGCTGTGTCAAAGAAAAAAGATGACATGCGGGACTGGGAGACGTGGTTGGATCGATCAGACCCAGCGTACAGGGGGTGGAGGGTTGGAGAGAGGGGAAGATGTGAGCGAGCTGAAGAACTGGACACGTCCTTTGGAGAAAAAAAAAAAAACCTGATGTGAATTAAGCATCAAGGCTTCAACACATTTCCATAGTGAGAGGCATTGTCTAAAGCAGAGGCAGCCAGGTCCTGTAGTGGAGGGGGTTACAGGGAGGCTTGACCAAACACCATGTCCAGAACAGTGAGAGAAAATCAGACATTTAGGGGCGAGGGCCAAAAGTAATGAGCCATCGATTAAGACCAACCACATTTTTGGTAGGGTTGTGACACAACTTATGTACAAAAGAAGTGGTAGAAATGAACAAAAAATAACATTTGAAACATTTGAAGTCAGAATAGCACTTATTTCACATACTCGTAAAATGAAGTCCCCTAAAAATGAATGATTTTTCATCATGGATTATTCCCATTATCTCAGAATGCACCAAAATTGAATGGGTCCTATCTTGACCAACACCACATCCTTTCACCAAGTTCCATAGTAATCCCCTCACATTTTTGCAAAATGCTGCTAACTAAAACACGACTTCCTTGATGGAGGTAACCATGTGTCTAAATGAAATGGAAAGATCAGGTTTATCTAAACACAACCTCAGAAAGTAATAAGAAACTTAGCCTATATGGTTGTTAATGTCAGGGAACTTGGTGAGTTCTCGACTCTGAAAAAAGCAAGGTATCATTTATGGTTAACTGCTTCATCTGAGTAATTGATTAAAAAATGTATATGGTGCAAAAATTCAAATAGTTTTGGAATCTATTCAACAACCTACTACAGGTTTGTTCACCTGCTACTAAAAAAATTTTTTCAGTCTGTTTCAGAGATTGTTACTGGAAGCTCTTTTCTTATTCCAGTAAAGTCATGGAGCTCCTTGGGCTGATGAGGCTGATGGTGTTTAACAAGGTCTGATGAGTTCAAATTTAGTGAATTAGACCTGCTACCCTCATGAGGCATTTCAATTTGTCAGCTTCCTGCATCATATTGTCTCATTGTCACCTGCAGTGATTGTAACTTGTTTAAACTGGTAATTGCACTGCAGGTATTGTCTTTTTATTTCTGCACAATATTGTAAACATGTGTTTTTAGAAGTGCTATATATTTATTACCTATTATTATAATAATGTTATTTGTACTTCACACGGGAAGTATCACTCCACATCTGGATGAAAAGGTCAGGGCTAAGTATTTTCTCCATACACACACACACACACACACAAACTAGTACGGCCCTCCACCCTCCATATTCAGTGCACCACATTGCACACACTCACTCTCTCAGTATATCATTCCTTTTATCTTCAAGATCCATGAATTATTTCCTGGGAAATTAGTGAAAATGTCAGAGATGCTCGTGTGAAAGGAAGTGAAAAACCTTTCCTGGATGCGCTCCTTTATCCGCATCAGCGCCCAACTTTTGTCCGTTCCTTACAGCAAGTTTCATAGAAATCTGTTCAGTAGTTTTTGCATAATCCTACGTACAAATAAAACAAATAGACATGTCTGATAACCTCCTTTGCAAAGATAATAATCCACTGACCTTGTAGTGGGGAGTTTTTGTCTGGAGCAACTGTTCTATATTTTCTTAAAATCACCTCTAATGGCATGTAGATCATTTTACAGTATATGATTCTCTACATGGTTAGAAATAACACTTGTGTTTGGATGTTTGGAAATAAAGCTCCATCATTAGGAATGACAGAAATTACACCCAATTAGGGTGTCATTATTGTCATGGCCACTGCGATGGTGACATAAACCACAACCGTCCCTCAGAGACCCGGAGCCCATCAGCAGTCTCCAAATCTGGACCCTACACATCCAGTGTCCAGTTACAACACGAGGGCCTTCAGCGTTTGCAGAGCTCTATTTGAAGATGTGAGCGCAGTAACACGAGTCCTGGGTAAGTGTCCTGTGGGGCACGTGAGAAAGTGGAGTAGAAGAAAAGCGGTGTTGGAGTGGAGGAGCGGATGTTGTGGTGACGATCAAAGTCACACCCGGTCGGGGCCGTTCAGCTCAGTCCAGTGCAGCCAGCCT